GATAAAATGACACAAGGTTATATGAACACACAGAGGATAATATGAACACACACAAGGTAATATGAACACACATAGGGTAATATGAACACATACAAAGTAACATGAACACACACGGGATAATATGAACACATGGGGTAATGTGAACACACACATGATAATATGAACACGTACAAGATAACATGAACACACAGAGTAAAAATGAACACATACAAGGTTATATGAACTCACAGGATAATCTGAACACACATGGGGTAATATGAAACACATACATGTACTTGGTAATATGAACACATACTTAGTAAAATGAACACACATGGGGTAAAACTGTTGGCCTTGATTTGATTCCATCACATATTCATCTTTGTGCTCATACAATATTTGTTCTATTGATCTTTGTGTCATCTTTCTTAATGTCTTCTAGTTTCTATATATTTTTGCCTGGTTACCTTATCTTGTTATCCTATAGTGTACATGACGTGTCACTTTCCTCTGATGTAAATACTTTCATACACATGCTGCTTAGTTCTATTTAAATGTAAGCTTCCTGTATTGCCCTGTGTGTTGAATGGACTAATTTTTGTGTAATCATAATGCATTTTGCCATGTTCTATGACAATGTGAAGCAAGATATTTTTCACAGTAATAAATTTGTGGCATTCATCTGGCATTTACTTGTCATTTATGTTCCTACTGATAATATGGATAAAAGGTAATAATAAACATCTGTCACATTATTACAAATTTTCATTATTTACCCAGCCACCTAGCGATTTGTTTGGTAAGGTGTCACATGTATGAGAATGGTGCAAAATATGCATTACGCTGTCACATCAACTATATATTGGTCATTACTCCATGAATATGTCAAAATGCCATTCTCACTGGTAGTTCTAGATAACAGCCCCCTCATACACAGATATAACTCAGACTGACATACTGTCTTTTGTAAAAACAAATATGTGTTCAATGTTTTTACTTATTTTCATTTAGCTCATGATAGATCAGTTTGTTTTGTCATTTGATTCAAAGTAGGTAAAAAGGCAAGGTATAGATATATACATGTTGATTTGTTTTTCATTTCACTGATCTCTGACTGACTGACTGACTGACTGGTGGCCATTTCAGTTTCAACAAACAGCATTTGAATATGTTATCAAGCATTTATTAGGGTGTGCATTGGCAAATTTTGTTTATTACTGGAGGCTATTTTTGAACAACAAGACATGCCTTGGCTAATTTTGTGTGAATTATGCAATTTTGTGTGTACGATATGAGAATGATCTTGTTGCTCGGAGGTGCCACTGATCAAAACCTAAATATAACACTACATCATTTGTAGTGACCATGCTGGATATACTTCCCCAACATTTAATTATTATCTGTCTACATCATTCAGTCTTTATAATCGACATAGTGACTAAAAACTGGAAGGGGACTTATTATTAGTGACAATGACTTGTTTTAAACAATTTATTTTTAAAAGCCAACTGTATACAAGTCTACATATGATCCATCATGTCCACCAATTACCATTCATTCTGTCTGTCTGTGGAAGACACTACCAGGGATCTTTTGTTTTTTTACCCCAATCCGCACTCTTGCATTTACTTTTTTTTCAATTGGACCAACAACTCAGAAAAAAGAAAATAGAAAAAGATTGTATGCAAGCCTTGTCTTATACTGTGTTTAAGTTTTATTCTTAATGATTATTTTTTTTTCGTTCCCTTTTTTTTAGTCTCTCCATCCATATTAATAACGCTGAACACTGGACCAATTGGAAGTCAGACTGGACTGGAAAATCACATCGACGAGTCTTTGATGAAACTATGAATAAAATTTATGATAAAATGTACAAATCATCATAGTCTAAATTTATATAGGTATTCACCCAAATTTGTTTCAAAATTAATTAATTAATTAAGCATATGAAATAAAAATGATTTTGATACCATGATTGTTTTATGTTAATTTATAGGTCAATATTAATTGTTATAAGACCAACACTGTTTGTATATTTCAAATTGTCCTTATTAGTATAGGTTTAATACAATTTGTAATAATTGTATGTATATTTCTTTTTTGGACATTAAATTTTATTTTTAATTTGTGATTCTGACCCTGTGACAGGTCATTGACTTTTGTCATTAGTGTATATTAATACATGCCATAGATTTTCACTGTGTCCTGAGGCTGTGAACCATAAAATACTAGTAATAGACTAATCTTTATTCACCAATTAATTCATTGATCAATTATGAAACCGCATTTATTATTGTAGATAAAATACATTACTGTGTTTTTTAATGAGATTTATAATATAGTTTTTTTTTAAATAAATTTTTTATGTAAAAATATATCATTCCAGTATTATGAACTTGAACCACTCTTGCAACAGATGAATGCTTTGTAATTTCTGTTAATTTTGAAAAAAAAATTATTATGTTTTGCTTGTATATTGGTAATCATACGTTATTTGAAAAATGTAAAAGGATCAGGGTAGATTGATTATATTGGTTGGAATAACAACTGTAATGACGTTGTTTAGTGCAGTTCTTAAAGGTACTGTCTATACAAGGGTTTGATTTGTATACTAATTGAATACTGGGTGTGTCTTAATTCATTATTCAGGATGTCTTATATTTGATATGGTCTAGCTTGTACCACCTATTGCATCTGTGTTACCCAAGTTAACATCATTTCTAGTGCCACAGTCATCACACAGTAAACTGAAATAAGTTATTTGTTAAAATGTTTTTTTTAATATAAATATTCTTTTTTTAGGAATTTGAATAGACCACATGCATTCTACCTATGTCTAACTTGTCTCAGGGATATCTAGGGGTTGCTATTCTTTTCTTATCTTCAGTCCATCCATGCTATGCGTGTGTTGTGTGCCATGCACAACTACTGATCTATGATTGTGTTACAAACATGGTCTTCCATGTCTTCATTTGGGTCATCTCAGTCATATAGCACATACAATACTGGGCAAATGATGTTAAAATTAA